GATAAACTTAAACCCACCCTTTATTTTTAAGAAAATGATTGATTATTTTTTTGAGTCATTTCAAAAGTCGTTCATCACATTCGAAAACTAAAACTACTTTAATTAAAACCTAGCTGGTTTCCTACCAAATTTTAAAATTGTATTCTTTCATCCCATCTTCTTTTAGAACATGGCATAAAGAAAATGGAGATCTTTATAACATAATCTACAGTGGTGGTAAAAATCATTGCATCACCCAGTTGTTTTTCACACATCTTTTTTTATGAGATTGTGCATTGTGGAATTGTCAGAACTAGTGTAAAATGTTTATGGAAATTGTATGGTGTAAGCTGACTCGTATTTCAGTTTTCCAAACACGTATATGCATCTTTATTAACAAATCAATTGTGACAAATGTATTACAGCAGATGATCAACAAATACTTGGAAAATATTAAAATGTTCTCCGTGTTAGAAAACGTACATTTAAAGATAATGCCACTAATGTACTTAACAAAAAAGTGGTCACGTGAGTCTATTTCTTGTTTTAATATTTGGTTGTGCCCCTCTAGTCTTGATAAATGCTTGAACTCACAATGGCGTGAGGAACTGAATGTAGGCAGGGTGGAGCTCATTATGCAACACATGGATTAAGCCTTCCTGCAGTTCCAACGTGCTTCTCGGTTTTTTCTCTTGTACTTTGTTACCCATTACCTTCCAACAGTTTTCAATAGGGTTGAGATCTGGGCTGTTGACTGGCCAGCGTAGTATCTTGATACTTTCTCTTTGTAGATAGACTTTCACATGAAGTAGTGAAATAAAACCTAAGATTCTTTTCAATTCACACAGACTGAAAATTGCTCCTTATTTCACAACTACTGCATAGTTTACATGAATATTACCAACTTTTATAGCCTTATGGCATGGAGCAGAATCATCCTGAAATGTGCACTTTTCAGCTTCACCAAAGTAATCCAAAATTGTTGGCTTTAACTGGGATTTGAGAATCTTTGGGTACTTGCGGTCATTGACAGTACCTTTCATAAAATGCAGGTGCCCCATACCCTGGCCAGACTAAAGACACATCTTACCTTGGTGAAATATTGGCTCAAAAGAAAAAAATGGCACCAAGTCTGTTAAAATGGCTGTTTGGTGGACATTCTGAGCTTCTGATTGGTTATTCATGTCATATATAGAAGTAAGTTTATATAAGGGAGCATTTCCAAAAATGGAAAGAGGTGGGTGGGGTGCCACTGTGTTTGATTTATTACATGAGCAATATCTTAGCAAATTGAAATGATAAGAGGCTTTTATTTTATATTCTGGTTTGTCAATATCGGTAATTTGAGTTTCTAATTCGTACAAAACTTTAGACTTAGTATTTTGATTTCCCACAATCTACTTTGAACCAGTGCTGCATTCAACATACCACATGACACACAAAAATTGATGTTTATCTGTGTTTTTTAATATTCGCTTTTAAATTAAGAAATTGAGTAATATATAGTACTAAAATATGAATTATAATCTACAGTTTGATACCAAAGTTATTGACGTAAATTAACGAAATAATAGTTCAATAAAATTTTGAATGCGAGTCAACAAAGGTGATGACATGGCCTTTCACCCATGACCCATCTCAAAAGGGTTAATAATCTTTTTCTTTCTCTCATCCATCCACCCTACAGTCCAATTACATAATGTTCAAGGACAACAAGGGACCTACTGGTTCATGAATACTGTCCCATCCAGCAGCCCTTATTATTAAAGTATTTATTAAACTCTCCTAAATTTACTTCATCTACCACAACTGAAGGCAACTCATTCCGAAGGTTAACCATCCTGTTCAGTAGAATGAAGAGTGTCTTAGCTGAAAGTGACTCCTATCCTGCCAACATTTATATTGTCTCCTAGTCTTATCATTCTCACCATTAAATATGAAAAAAAAGATGATATATCAACACTATCAATTTCCTTAATGATTTTAAACACCTCAGCCACTAACTCCTCGTTTTTCAAGAGAAAACAATTTCAGTGATCTAAACCTGTCTTCAAATGACAACCTTTCCATCCCAGGTATCATCCAAGTAGTCCTTCTCTGAACCCTTTCCAACAACTGAATGTCCTTCCTAAGGTAAAGAACCTTTTTGATGATGGCAGCATAGTTTGCCATCAAAACAGTCTTGTTTTTTTTTGAGTCTGTGCTACATTTTTAATAAATCAAATTTTATTGTGGAATATGTTAATGATCTGTTTGTGCTTTTAATCCTTTATCTGTACACAAGTGCTATTTAATTGAGTTAAGAGGCATTTTCTTTATTGGTAAATAAATGTTCCTTAGTTGAAATGGCTTGGTGTTTTATCTAAAAATTTAACAATTACTTTTAAGTCACTTAAACAGAGATAGGTTGTTGTTACATTTATTGTACCATGGCGTTTGTATTGTGAGCCTAGTGTATCCTCTCAACTCAGTCTCTAACGTAAAGTTCACCTTGAACCTGAACACTATCCATTATCGCTGATAAACATTTATTTAAGCCTTGGATCCTGTTATATAAATGACTCCTGCATCTAACCCAAGGGAACACACTCAAAAAGGCCACGTGTTTTTCTATTTCTAAACTTCTGAAGGAGTTCTTTTATACTTTATAAGCAGGTCTTATGATTTACACATTTCAACATCTTATATGCATTACGAAGAGAAATGTATCTGTGTACATATGTCTCTTTCTCCCCTCACATAGTATATATATGTATATATGTCTCTTTCTCCCCTCACATAGTATATATATATATATATAT